AAGTTATATCATTAACATGTATGACTCCCACTCTAGCTACCATCTTTCCAACTGATTCTTGTTCACACAGTCTGGCTAGGTATAGGATAACATGAGAAAGGACAAAAATTTTCTGAAAGAAAAGTACAAAGAAGGCAAATTTCAGATGGAAGATTTCAAATTTCTAAATACTATCCAATTTGGCTGGAGAGATAGCACAGTGGTAGGGCGTCTGCCTTGCACACGGCTGACCGGGCAGACCCGAGTTCGATTCCTCTGCCCCCTCAGAGAGCCCAGGAAGCTACCAAGAGTTTCTCGCCCACACGTAAAGCCTGGCAAGCTACCCATGACATATTCGATATGCCAAACACAGTAACAAGTCTCTGGAGACATTACTGGACCCGCTCAAGCAAATCAATGAACAATGGGAGGACAGTGCTACAGTGCTACCCAAACCATAAATTCCAAAATAATTATTTTGTAACTTAGATGTTATAATTTGAAATGAAACACCACTGCCAGATGAATTTTCCATCCTCTACTTCCGCAGTGGCTTAGTGATACCCCTTTGCCTTAAATATATATCCTTGTCATAAGCTCTGGAAAGAGAACCTTAGAAGGTCTCTGCCAAAGATCTTGAGATGATAAGATCTTTCCAGATTATCATGGACATGGACACCCTGATTTTAAACTTTTGGTCTAAAGAGTTGTGTGGAAGATAAGTTTGTTCGCTCGAGCAAACTTACAACAGTTTTAAAAATCAAATTTATAATTATATGCTTAGGTTTCACAGGAAACCAAACCATCCATCAACCCCACTTTTGCCTGCTTTTCCTAACCCTAAAGAAGGCATGAAATGCTAGACTGAGCTGAGAAGATCAGATGAGTGAGCAGACCACATGGTTAATGTCTTACAATTTTGGCAGTATAGAATGTGAGTTCTAGATCTTAATAACTTGAAAATATTCATCTCTATAAGCTACAGTTTCATCATCTACAAAACTTAAATGGTCTTAGTACCTGCTTAATTGAATCATAGAATCAGAAACTTGTACTTGAACTGACTCTCACCTAAGTGCATAAACAAAATTTTAAAAATAATTTGCCACAGTTATAGTTGTCACAGAATTAGGGTATGTCAGAGGAACCTAGTGGACCAGTTAGTTGTGCAAGTAAAGAGCTATGGGTGCTCTTAGAGGGACCAGTTAGCTGAGCTTTTTGAACAATTGAGGAAACTTCCAGTTTGGGGATGATATTCAAATGGGCTATTACATACAAGCTGTGATTGCATGACCTCTGTGATCTTGTCTTTCTCTCTGATTAGCATTGGAAAATTAAATAAAAATAAGCCAACTAAAAGTAATTCACTGAATTTCACTTGGGATAATCAGTGTTTGGTTTTTCTCTTCCCACCCCTGCTACTATACATCAGGGAATAGAGGGAATGTTGTAAACTAATTACCATGATGTGTTGTTCCTCCTTCTGAGCTGAAGGAATGACCTCTGCCCTTTTATCATGTGGAGTATCCATACATGCAGTGTATGCCAGCCAGTACAATGTGATTTTTAAGACTGATACAAAATTAAAAGGCAGAGAGGCCTTGGTTTAAAAAAATCCTTCAGAGTTTTAAGATGCCAACCTCTGAAAACTAACTCCAATGTTAGGTCCCTTCTAAGTACAAGATCCTGTGAAACTGAGACGGGAGACTACTTTCCCATAACTTTTATTACAGTATTTGGTATAACTCTTTGGTCTTACTATTGTTGTCAATCTCTTGATTTTCCTAATCTATAAATTGAACTTTGCCATAATTCTATATGTATAGGAAATAAACATGATAGATACAGGGCTCAGTATTAGGCATAGTTTTAGGTATCACTGGGGATCTTGGAACATATATTTTGCCTAAAAAAAGGGAAGATTTCTTTGTCATATATATATTACAGGGGGGATTCAGAAAATAAGTTCAAAACTGCTTCTCTAATACAACAACACAAATGAATCATTTTATTCTTCAGAATTGCATATATTTTAGAATATAGTAGATTTCTGATATTCGATCATGTTTCGATCTGTTATAATAAAAATTTCATATGGCTCAACGAAAGAGTAGGATGGTCTAGTCCAATGATGTTTAAGCTTCCCATACCTATATGAGCCATACTGGTACATGGAATGACAGTTGAAAACAATGGGTCAAAGTTGCTTTTAATCATTTTTATTAGATCTATTCCGTTTATAAATTGGACCTAGAGAAAAAATTGCAAAGGCAACCCTAAGAATTAAACAGAATCACAAAATAGGAATTAGGAGAAGCCTTATCTACATTCAACAATTTGCAAATGAGGACGTACCATGCAGAGAGGTAAAAGGGGCTTCAGAAATATGAAGGTCAATTAGTAGCAAAATTAATCTCTGGCTGTCTGCCCTGTGCTCTCTCCACCACACCAAACCACTTTCCTTACTCCTTTACAACTGTAAAAATGTTATGAATCTCCCACTTCACTGAAAAATCAGTGCACTGGGGCTGATAATTAAAGCAAATATCAAAAGTTACAATCTTTTAAGAAACACATTTTTCAGACCTTTGATCAATGATAATCAAAGCTTTTAAAAGAAAAAATGTCAAAATGAAGGTGTTGCTTCTTAGACATAATTTGGAGATCCTTCTGATTAAATTATCTTCAAAAATTCATATGTCCCCACTCTGAGACTGAGACATGGATTTTTCTGTTTCTTGAGATAACAGCTTCTAGCTCATACTTTATTGTTATTGTTTCAGCATTATCATCAGACCTTATTTGCAAGTATAATTCATAATTGTCTATAAAATACTCAGATAACATGTCAAGCATGGCAAAAGGAAATATCCTAAATAGCTCTAACCTTAGTACCATTTATAATTTGCAAAGGAGAAAACATCATCAACTTTAATCTGCAATTTAAAAGATGAATACAAAGTGCTCCTGAGTGATGTCATTCTTATAAGTCATTACATCGTGACCAAGGCTAAAATTCTATCAGGACTTAGGTAGGTATAGTACCATGATAATATCTGTACACAATAAATTTATTTAATCTGCACTAACCCTATACTGTATATATTTATAATTCCAATATGAAGAATATGAAGATAAGAAAACTGAAGTTTAGAATGATTCCATAGTAACACTCTGCTTCTGAAGGGAGAAAAGATAACTATGAATGCTACATCTACATCACCCACAATGAAGCAGTAATCTATTCGCAAAACTCACCTATGTCCCAGCTAAAACAGCAATGGCTAAATCATGTATATGCCTCAGATTTAAAATAACAAACTCTATTTCAGAGAGCCATTCAATTTTCAGAAGATGAGTCATATATTCCAAATGGAGTTCAAAAATAAGGTGACAGAAACAGCAATAAGGACAGATCAATGGTCAGACCGGCAATTTATACCTATCCTGTTATCATCACTATGATTTTAAAATATATCCCTGCCCTCTTTAATATTCTTCTCTTCAGAAAATATAACCTAATTCCCCTTTCCTTGAAACCTAGGCTATACTTTTTATGGGGACGGGGGAACATTAGGCCATAGCAGATCCTAGAAGACTCATAGGTGCTGGGGATTGAGTCTGGGTCAGCTGCATGCAAAGCAAGTGCTTTACCTACCCACCGTACTCTCTCCAGCCTCTAGGAAAGATAGTATAGTTACTTAGTGAGTGACTAGAACATGGTGAACAGGATAATTCATGATATCTCAGACTTAAGAGAAAATTTAACCACGGCTTCCTTCTTGCTCTTCTCTCATTCAGGGACAGGCACCTGAAAGTCACCTGCCAAGTCATGAAGACATTCCAGTGGCCTTATGGAGGGGTTCTAAACCACAGAAACTGTCATCCTGGATCTGCTAGTGATGTGAAACCTTCAGAGTAATACAGAAATTATGACTACAGATTCAAAGAAAACTTTATAAATTCAACTAAATAAATTAATAATTATTAAATTCTATAATAGAAATGTATAATTTTAAATTTTCAGGTAATATTTTATGAAAAATGAAAGATAGAATTTATTCCTAAATTATGCTTTTTCTTCTAACAAAGTAAAAAAAATCTGAACCTTGGCTAGGACTATTGCAATATCAAGGCCAAATACTCTCCTTTGTTCAGTTTCACTTAGAGCATACCCAGGAAACAGGATGACAAGAGAACATTTTTTTCAATGCCTTGCTCTGCTCAAAAATATAGAGTAAATTTGTTCCTGCACTCATTATATCATGTGCCAAATGATCATAAAAGAAGAAGGTCAGAGTCAGAATAATTTTTAAAAAGGAATGGAGCAAAGTTTTCTGTAAGATAAGAGCTCTATCTTAAATGTTCTGTTTCTATGTGTTAAGAAGCATCACTCTGGAATAGAGTCCTATTTCAGAGTTCTACACTTCAGCCACCGAAAAGTGAATATTCCCTTTTATACAAGAAGATAAATTATTTTTATCTAGATTACTTCCCCCCTCCAAACTGATGGCAATTGGTAAAATATGGGATATGTTAAAAATATCTGTGTGCTTAAAGAGTAACAACCTCTCTTTAGAAAAGCTACTTAACAAACAAGGTGGGTCCCAAGAATTGAAAATCTTAAAAATAGTATACTGAAGTGAGGTTGTCAGCATTTTTCTAACATAATGAGACCAAAAAAAAAAAATGAACACTCTTGACAATCAAAAACCTTTTTTTTCCTCAAGCATTAGTCAAATGGAAACTCAATAGAGACTCCCTCAAAACTAAGAATACTTGAAGTGGTAAACAATCTTTTTCCATTTTCTCTTTGAACTTTAAAAAAATAAAAGAGTATTGCTTTCATAAAGCTCATGTATTTTTTGTAACATTCATTTACCATGTCCAACCACATCATCTGCTAAGCAGTTTATGTGTGATTTCTTATTAAGGCCCATCCTGGAAACAGTAGCATTCTTCCCCTAAGCCAAACCACAGCAAGTTACCAAGGTCAGGAGAAATTGAAGTGTAATGCTTACCCAGCCCTTCACAGATTTCATTCTTGTCTTTAGAGTGCTTTCTTTTCCCATGTTGCTCCAGGCATGGAAGACCCCCTATAGTCTCAAAACACAGCTTCTTGTTGATGAAGAGGAAGAGGACAGCCAGAAGAACAATAAATACCCCAACAGCAGACAAGAAGCCAATTGCTTCAGGAGGAACTGACAAGAAAATACAAAGAGAAAAAAATATCATCGCAATGTTACTCATCTTTTAGTTCAAAAAATTATCTCCATTATTTGTAATTTTTATATTTATTAATTCAAGCAGTAAATACTCTACAAAACGAACCTCTTGCAGATTTCCTTGGGTCTATTATACAGGAGAAGTGATAAGAGCTATTGCCCAGAACATCTTGCTAGATTGATAATCTAGATGAAATACCAATAGACCTAGATAGATGTGATTTCTTCTACTTGGCATACAATTTTTCTTAATCCTAGCATCTTCCTAATAATTCAGCTTCAAACACATTCTCTAAGAAAAAATATCCTTCACATGAATTGAGCTGAATGGTTGAACACGAGTTATAAAATCTTCTTTCTTATAGATACCTAAGTACTATTTACTACAGCTAAGGTCTGGGAACAATCTAAATACCAGATAACAGATGACTGTATAATTTGTATTCAATAGACACAATGAAATTCTCAGCTATGTGAAAATTTAAATCTTGGTTTTTGCTACAACATAGATTGAACTCGATGGTGTCATGTTAATTGAAATCAACTTAGAAAGAAAACGACAAATACTGAATGATCTTACTCACTGTTAGAGTATTTTTTTAAAAAAAAGGTTTTTGACAATACCCAGTGAAAGTAAACCCATGTACTTTGACAATAGAACTTAGGTTACCTTCAAAAATTTTACCTTGTAAAAAAAATAATAGAACCGAGGTTACCAAAGTGTACTTAGGAGTGGAAAAGAAGCATCTAATGGACTGTGATGATGGCTTATTGAAACTTGGGTGGTGAAAACAGCGTGGTAACACTGTATTCCAAAAGCATAAGATCCACACTCTTATAAATAATTTTATATTAACAAACTTAAAAACAAATCGCTTAAAAATAAAACTATCTAAAGCTTAAACATAATCACTGAATATAAATGTTTAGGCAAATCAATAAGCCATAGAAATAAGCCAAATACTACTGTACTAATTTCCAAACAATTTAATATTACTAACTGGACAATAAATAATACTTATATGGACATAATAATTACTTTTCTGGATACCATCTTATAAATCCAAATATGTTATATGATGAGGATGATTATCGGTGATAACAATAAAATTCCCAGTCCATATTATTCATGTAGTACTGTAGCACTATCCTCCCATTGTTTATCGTTTTTGCTCGAGTGGGCACCAGTAACATCTCACAACAAATATGAGACTTGTTACTGTTTTTGGAATAGTGAATAGTCATGGGTAGCTTGCCAGGCTTTGCCGTGCAGGCGAGATACTCTCGGTAGCTTGCCAGGCTCTCCGAGAGGGATGGAAGAATCAAAATCCGGTCGGCCGTGTGCAAGGCAAACACCCTACCTGCTGTGCTATTGCTACAGCCCATCATTCATGTAAAAACAGAAAATCAACTACTAATATTTTAGAACTTATAAAGATAATATTTTATTTTCTTTCTTCTCCTACTGATCAAAACTATCCTGAATTTTAAGTGGCTCAGTGAAGATTGATCCATCATGTATGTGTTTTTACATCCCAGTCACAACAAACTCTGGGGTCTTATTAGAATGGAGGCAGACAGTCTCCTTGTCCCCTACATCCTATTGGAAGCCCCAGCATTCACACCCATATACCAAAGTCACTGCCAAGCTTTTAGACCAGCTTCACAAGTTCAACAATTAATCTTGTAAGAGATGCCAGGCCAAGGTAAGAAAACTCAAGAGTACATGCTTCTTCAGGCTGAAAATCCTGGGACCCACTCAGGAGTCATGTGGGCCAAGAATCATCTCAGATCTACAGATTCTGTAGTTTCTGGAACACACAGCCACATACGGAGCTGTACTACACCTCCAAATTCCACAATATTGACAGCCCAGTAGGAGCAGCAGCAAATTAGATAGGTGAGTAGCATAGAAGCCAACTAAGCTCAATAAGCAAAAACAGTAACACAGAAGGCTCAATAAGAACCAAATGTCTCAGTAAATCATCACACAATTATTTTAATAACCCCATTATGAGATAACAATTTTCAGAAACTTTCTTAAACTGAACTACTTTTTTGATATGTCCACTTACCATTTTTTGGAAAAATAATAATAAGAAATAGGAAATAAATTATTTTGCACCATCCACAGGGGCAGTCATGGAGGGTTGGTTGGGATACTGGGGACAATGGTGGAAGGTAGGTCTCACTGGTGATGGGATTAGTGTTGAAATATCAAAGGCCCAAAACAACTAGTTGTAAACAGCTTTATAAACCGTGGTGTTTACTCAAAGTTTTTTTTTAAAAAGTAATATATACTCATAACCAGTCCCATTTTGGTTATGAGTATATATTACAGACACTGAAGCAAATTTAAGGAAAGGCTAATCTAAGGAAATGACCTGTAAGCCAGAACAAAATTTAGTTTCAAAAATGGAGAAATCATCTTATATAAAAAGACTGATAACAGAGTAGTTATCAGTGAGTTTTTTAAGGGAGTTCATTGCATAGGAGAAAGCTTATGAAAGAGGAACTGTGATGCTCAGGGAACCATAAGGAGTGCTGGGCATCATATCCAAGACAGTCTCTTGCAAAGTGAGCATTTTTCCCACTGTACTAGCATTCTGTCCCCAAATTTTAATTTGTTAACATGGCTGACAGGGTTTTTCATAACCTTTCTAGAAATCTCAGACTTTTTCCCCCATCACTCTCCAATATCAAAATTCTATTACCTGTATGTTCATCTATTTGTTTCTGGTTCTCCAAGACATAGATCACCTCCAGAACTTTGCCCAGACTGTTTCAATTCAGTTGAACAATTGCTAACCTTTCTTTCCACTCTGATACTGTACTTCCACGGAAAGTCTCTTATTCCTTTTGTTCTGTACATGCTTCTACTATTGCTCCCACCCACCAGGACTTTGCCAGCTCTTTCAAGAGATGTCAAGTGCTGAATTTTAAACTAAATTAGAATAGGAACTGTGTCTCTGTTACTCATTGTATTCTTTGCAGCTAGATTAGGCAAGGCACTCAATAAATATTTGCTGCCTAAAAAATTTATTGAACTCTACCGTGCTGATTAATATATCCACTAACAAAAAATTGCAGAAAGAAAAGATGTACTTCAAGTGGACCCATAACACTAATAATAATAAGCAGTATATAATTTCTGCAAGATCAAATTTTAGGGAAAAAAGGGTGTTTATCTATTACTCATAAGCATAAATATTTGTATCCTATAATAAATAAAGCTGAATTTTTATTTTTGAGTAAAAATCATTTTGCTCTTATAAATGACATGAGGCTTATTACCTAAGACCTGAAAAATACAATAAAATAAACATTTATTTTAAAATTTCTGTGTACTATTAAAATTTCATACACTTCCTTGCAATCATTTTGATTACATGACAAATACTCTCCTTTGTCTATATTGCTCTTTATTGCTTTAGCTACAAAATATTTTATTAAATAAAACTAATATTTTTTAAAATGTTATAAAATAATAAGTAGCTTGTGACTATAGCTATTTTGAAAATGTTGAAACATATAAAGTTCATGTTCAACTTCCCCATCCATCACTGTAGCACTGTCCTCCTGTTGTTCATTGATTTGCTCGAGCAGGCTCTAGTAACATCTCCATTGTGAGACTTCTTGTTACTGTTTTTGGAATATCGAATATGCCACGGGGAGCTTGCCAGGCTCTACCATGTGGAGGGGATACTCTCAGTAGCTTTCCGGACTCTCCGAGAGGGATGAAGAAATCGAACCTGGGTCAGCTGTGTGCAAAGTAAATGCCTACCCACTGTGCTATCACTCCAGCCCAACCATCATAGTTAAAATTTTAGATTTTCATGATATCTTTTTCATAACTATTTTACTATCATTAAAAGTTATTTAATATGCTGGCATTAATGTGTTTACTTAAAAAATGTTCACAGATTCTATATTGGAGTCAACATAAAGATATTATTAATGAATATATTATAAGATAATATGTCCAAAGATACAAGGAAAATTAGAAGGCTCTTATATTGTTCCAAGTAACCTATTTTTATTAGATATTTTTAAAAATCAAGTGATAATTCTTGTAGCAGTGAATTGAATGCAGATAAGTATAAAATTATTATACAGATGACAATATTTTTTCCTCAAAGTTATGTGTTCATTACCCCATTACCTTTAGTTTTTAATGCTTCATAATAAACATGATTTGACAGCCTACCTTTTGGTACTATATGGTTAACAAAAAAAATATTTTATAAGTGCTCCAAGCATTATGTTTCTTTTACCAGGATGTATAGTTTTTGTGGCTATCTTTTGTTGGTTTTTCCTAGGATCCATTCCTTTCACCAACATATCCATGGCCTTTCTTTAAGCTTAGGAAAGTTTACTTCAATTACATCTTTGATATTTTTTTTCTGTTCCACTATTCTTGTTTTTATCTTAAACTGGGTTCAAAGAGAGATACTTTCTCTCTTCGTCAGGATAATTTTTTTCTTTGATAATTTTTTTTCTGTTCCACTATTCTTATTTTTATCTTAAACTGGGTTTAAAGAGAGATACTTTCTCTCTTCGCCAGGATGGTGGAGAATATGAGCGTAAGTACAAATGTAGCCATAGCATAGAGAAAACTTAGTTTGTCAAGTTTGGTTAATTTTTGTGTTCAAATTTTTCCATATTTTATCTATTCAAATTTCATTTTTTCTATGTGTTTCTGGTATTAGTAGATATCTAAAGAGGTGAATGAGGGATTGTAAAACAAGTACTATGCTAAACTATACAAGCGTTTCTACATTTCCTACATGACTATGATAGAAATGGCTAGTATTGGCAGTAACTCAAAACTAAGGAGAACTGATTAGCCATGTGTTACTTGCACTCAACTTTATCATAACACAAGGATATGGGTGGTAGTATGAGGACACACTGGTGGTGGAAAAGTAACTATATTCACCAACATAATAAATGCCAATCAACAAACAGTGGGGGAA